TATATATATATTAGAATATGAAACTGAATGGTAAAGATGGTAAAGAAATACTGTACAAGACAACTGTCACCCAAAAAACAAAACCAAGGATACAGGCAGTCAAATGTAGGAGTATGACATACAGATCAGCCTTCATTCATGTTTAATATATGCTCAGTCATTATATTACTTAAAAGGAGAACTATGAGGTGAGTGATTCCCACTCATCCTCATAGTTAGAGCCGAACTGTGACAAAGAAGCTGTCACAGGTCGGCTCTATTGAACAGGAAGTGAGCGAACACACACCGTCGCTCGCTCACTTTACATAGTATTTGAGGTTGAAAAAAGACATTAGTCCATCAAGTCCAACCTATTAGGATCTCATTCTAGGAGTACCTGTACCCTAGAATGATCATCTCCCTGCAGAGAGGGGTAACTGCCTCTCTGATCCTCCAACGCTGAGTGGAGGAACGAATGGGGGAGGGGGTGGGCACAGCCCCTATGCCTCTAGATAGGCAGAGCCAGCGGTCACTCACGCAGCTGGGTGGATCTCAACAGTATTGTCAGGATCCGTCCCGGCAGCGGCGTTCTCAGTATGTATATATACTGAGCTCTGGCTCACGGGAGAAGGTTATTATGTCCTCCCGTGACCCTAAAGAAAACTATGGGGAAAAACAAGGATCTCATTCTAGGAGTACCTGTACCCTAGAATGATCATCTCCCTGCAGAGAGGGGTAACTGCCTCTCTGATCCTCCAACGCTGAGTGGAGGAACGAATGGGGGAGGGGGTGGGCACAGCCCCTATGCCTCTAGATAGGCAGAGCCAGCGGTCACTCACGCAGCTGGGTGGATCTCAACAGTATTGTCAGGATCCGTCCCGGCAGCGGCGTTCTCAGTATGTATATATACTGAGCTCTGGCTCACGGGAGAAGGTTATTATGTCCTCCCGTGACCCTAAAGAAAACTATGGGGAAAAACACTTACCCCATAGTTCTCTTTTAAGCCTTTCCTAAGAGACACATGGGGGCTGCCAATGCCACTCCCCCTTCTGCAGATGCTAGTTGTCCTAGAACATTAACCAACTTGGCTCTATTTGGTTTGAGTCATTAAGCTGGAGGAAGCCTGCATACCTGTAAAGTTAAATGTCGTTATTTGCATGCTTGTTCCAGATAAGAGACAGAAAGTATTGAAGCAAGAGAATAAACATGACAGCCAGGTTACTAGCATTTGTGGAAAGTAGTAATGGCAGTGTACAGCTCTCTTTCTTAGGAACATGCTCATTTAAAGGAGTTGTGTAGGCAAGGCCTCATAATATAATCAGGTATTTGTATTACTTTGATTAGTGCTCGGTTCTAAATTATTTACAAGGCTAACCACAACCATCTGTCACTGTGTTTATATCCTGTTAGCCTTACTGCTAATAATGACACATGGTAATATATCCACATAATGAGAAAGAGAGGTAGGCTGGTGAAAAAGAAGACAGTCTATTCATACAGAAAGCAGTCAACAGAATGTGAACCTGAGTGGCAACACAAGCAGCCTGTGCATTTTATAATTACAGCTGGACAGCTAGATACACAACTGAAATACATGCATAGGAGATGCTTTACCTGCTAAAGGATTTTACATTTTGCCAACCAGTCTTGAGATTCACACAGCCGTACTACTACTACTACTGCAGTTCAGCAATACAGATTTGTCAATTCCCTGTTCCCAGTCAGTGATTGGAAAATGAAGAAGCAAAAGCAGACTTAATAGATCATCTTGCACTTTTTTTGGCAAGTGTCAGCATGCTGTCAGCAAACACGCATACAGAAGAGCCTGATTGGTTTAGCAGGGGTAGCCAAACTCCGGCCCTCCAGCTGTGGTGGAACTACAAATCCCATGAGGCATTGCAAGATTCTCACATCCACAGACATGACTCCCTGAGAGAGATGCATCATGGGATTTGTAGTTTCACCACAGCTGGAAGGCCGGAGTTTGGCTACCCCTGGTTTATAGTGCTGATAGTGCCTCATCTAGTCTGTCTGTTGTACAGGGGAATACTTGGGGCTGGTATCAAGTTTGATTCAGGTACTTTCTTTATCTGCATTTAAAGCGGACCTTTACCCCCTTTCACTAAAAATCACAGCAGCATGCAGCTCTGCATGCTGATTTAAAATCATATTACATTCATTGGTTAAACAAACTTGTTTTTTATTTACTTACAAATAGAGTTCATCTATTTCCTGGTCCAGCTCTGGCACAAATGATGCAAGTTCCAAAGCGTTGCATCTTGGGAAGGTTACATTAGCAGAGCATTGCTGGGAAATCTCATCTCAGGGAAAGGCATTTCCTCCCCTGAGATGATGTGCATGGTCACATGTACCAGAGTTTCAGGAAGTAAAGGGAGAGCTAGTAACCTGCCCTTAGTTAACATGGCCACTGGCAGAAGTCTGGGAAAGAAAATCCAAATAAGGTATGCAAAGAATACAAAGCCGGCAATTATCTAGAAGTATGTGTTTGTAGATTGTCATTACTAAACATTTCTAAAAGTGTGTTAGTTGTTATTTTAAAGATATGGGTAAAGGTCCACTTTAAGATACATTGAGTGATTTTATAGTGAATACATAACTACATTTAAAATAGTTCTGGGAGTTTTGCTTTAAAGCAGAACTCTGGGCAAAAGTGTTCCTTGCAGTCGGGCTACCTCCACACTGCAGGGGTTAAGTGCTCGTTTTTGTCTAGGTGTTAACAAAAAAAACCTATACTCCCTGGAGCATCTCTCCTCCTCCACTGCAGCAGTTTAAGGATCCTTGAGTCATCACATTCGATGCAGTGTATAGACATCAGGAATGCCAAGGGACATACCATCACTGCAGCAGAGGAGGGGACAGGGTACAAGGAAAGGAGTAGCGGCCAGCCAGCTCTGCGGTTCAGGTGAGTATAACTTTTTTTTTTTAGCACCTAAATTAAAATTACCATTTAACCCTTGCAGTGTGGGGTAGCCCCACTGCAAAGGTTTAGAACAATTTTGCCCACAGTTCTGCGTTTAAGATAAATATGTGAGCAAATATTCTTTAAAGCAAAGCTTCCCTAAGAGACATATGGGGGCTACCATTGCCAATTCTCTTCTGAAGACGCAAGTTGTCTCTCTGACCAGTGTTTTCAACAACATTTGTGTTACTGACATGGAACAAGTATGCATACCTGTAAAGTCAGACATTCTTTGCATGGTAAGTGACACAAAATAATGAAGCAAGAGGGTAAAAATGATAGGTAGGATTTGCAAAATGAGAAGTAGTAATGGTGGTAGTAATCCATGTCTATCTCAGGAAATGTTTCCTTTAAGCTAACACTGAATATTTAATTAAAAACAGAGAAAAAATAATAGAGGTGATAATTACAGAGATGCAAGGGGGACAAGTACGGCAGTCATCATTTGTTTAAAACAGTACATTGCTTCATATGACCAAAGAACACTTTAAATATCTACAGAAGTCCTGCCAACATAAAAAAGGTAGATTTTTGAAAGAGAAGAGGAAAGGAAAGAGGAGGTGTTACTAAAACAATCACATGTTAGCATTTAACGTCTTTAAACACACAAAAATGGCAGGTGGAATTCGACTGGTTGTCATTGGGTAACACCCACACTTTCCATTTCTTCAACAAAGCCTCATACAACCGGCACTACACTGGCCTTAAACATATTAGTATTCTACTCATACAGAAGACATATTCAGCTAATACAAATTGCCATTAAATGCTGTGATTGTGGTACATTAAATATACTCTGCTCTGTTTGTTTTAGCATGCCTCATTATTAGCAGATCCAGCGATCTGTCTTCCATAAATAAGGTCCTTTACTAATAAGTTGACTCTATATTGCTCAACATATGCTGTATATGCTGGAACTGCAGTGCTGGTGTGGTTTAGTTACAGACAGTGCATTTTTTCAATTTACTTCCTTTGTTCAGAAGCTTTTTTTTGATGGGAAAAGGCTGAATCTTTTTTCCTTCTTTTCTGGCGTGCCCTCTGCGGTGGAAGTGGATGGGAGGGGTAGGCTTTTAGACTTTGGCTTATGATCGGATGTCTCCGCAATGGACATTCTTATGTTGTCAACCCAGGCTTGTCGGTCAGCCTATGATATACAAAAATAAAAGTAGTAATCATGAGATGTGACAATGGTATCTGTAACATTATAATTCCTACTATGGTATCATTTTTGGGGATCATAGTATACACATACTATATCACAATACTGTAATATACACAAAATCTGTGCCCCTAATATCTGTGCCCCTCCAGCGATCTACAAGGAGCAGTGCAAAAAGTGAATGAACACCCAAAACATTTCAATACATAAAGTACTTATAAAACTTATACCGAACACAAATAAAACATACATACAAAAAGCATAAATATCCATATAAAACAGGTCAATCCTACACAGAGCCGCTGAAAAATTTCCTGAACTTCCTGGTCTGTGTGAAATCAGCGAGTACCCACCATCCAATGTGTTTTGTGAATAAGTCATACGATGAAACACATTGGAGGGTGGGTACATGTTTACATTACATGGACCAGGAATTTCAGGAGATTTTGTTAGCTGATCTGTGCATGATAGAACATATGCTGCATGGTGCAGCTGAGCACCTCTTCTAAAGTATTTTATGGATTCACACTATGAGTATTTTTAATATAATTCTTCCCTAAGCTATACTGGATTGGTTTATTGTGGAATGGAGAGAGTATTTGGAGCGATCTAAGGGGTACATGTTACTGAAGCACTTGGGGATAAACAGGGGCGATTCTGGGAGAATGGCAATAGAGATCGGAGTAGATTTGAGGGATATACAGAACAAAGTGCTTCTGACCCTTCATTTATATATGGTCTGCCATATCTGGTGAGTGAACTAGGAGAGTGCTGACAACGTGGCGAAGGCTGTTTTTTCTGTCACTGGAAAAATCCATTCATATTTGGATAAATCACTGAAGTGGTGGTTTTCACAGCTGACTTGATGTGGACTTGTTTTAAAAAAGAACTATTTTATATGGATATTCATTTTTTTTGTATGTATGTTTTATGTATGTTATATTTGTGTTAGGTATAAGTTGTTATGAGGTATAAAGCTTGACAATGTTATTTTAAAAGGTGATACCACTGAACTAGTAATGATACAATGATTGAATGGTAACAAAATGGTTCAATATATAACATGATACAGCCCGGGATGATAAACCCTTTTCATTGCTATGTCACAAACCCCATACATTTCAGTCTAGGTCCATGGAGAAACCCTTGGTCTTTTAGGACCCTAACAATGCCACCACAGAATACCACATATTTTTATCATGATCCAATTCAGTAAAGACATTTAAACTTATGGTAATACAAATGTACCTATAGCATTTTCAAATCAGGTAAACGGGCCCCCGATTTGTGTACTAGATATCTCTAGGTGGCTTCATGCATTTTATTTCCTAAGCACCCTACGCTATTATAATATAATATAGCATAATATAATCATAGCTTAGGTCAGAGGCAGCCAGTCAATGGGGCTGATTAATGAAACAAAACTGTTTAACTTTAGGGTAGAAAGGTGCATTTCCCCAAATATGCATTGCATCAGTCAAACTGTATCTGGTTAAGGTTTGCATCTGGCAGACTTTCTAGTCTTTTGGCCATTTGGCTATTTTGTACCTACCTCATCCTTTGCTTGGAAAAGCCACTCATTGCCATCACTCAACCTGGAAAACAGGAGCATTTTGTTTATCATTGGTGTTCTTTCTGATTTACTGAAACTGTATAGAAATATTGGATGCAACACAGCTTCTTATGTCTTATGCTGTTCATACATGATAAACTGTTTTAAAAGATTTGACAAAGATTTAAAGAAGCAGGGAAAAAAAAAACTTTATTCAAATTACCATAAGTAAACAAATACATGTTTTTTATTGTTTTATATTATTTAAAGTGACACAAAACCCACAGCTTTTTTTCTCCTTATACAGTACACATCTACACAATGAAATTGCCCAAAGCCACATTTATTTATGTTTTAAATAAGGATGTTTAGATACCAAGTACCGTACTCGGTACAAGTACAAGTACATGCACAGCTACTTTTCCTGCTCCCAGACTAGACTAGAGAAAAACTCAAAAGTTAGGAGGCAGTTGTCATTTTTAAGCAGCATACAGGGCTCATGGGATTTGTGCATCCCTGTTCTAATGTATGATTTGTTTTTTATAAATATATATAAGGGATCCACCGATACCATTTTTTCAAGTACAAGTACTGATACCTGTACAAGTACTCACAGATACAAGTACTGATACATTTTTGTTTATTGTCTTGTGACAGTTTTTCTAAAACAATACAGACTAAAGATTTCAGAGCAGTGGTAGAGCGCCAGAGCTAGATCCCAGCTGCAACCTCTGCAACGCTGGTAGTTCTAGTGAAAATGCCAAGCATCGGCACTGGTATCTGAACATCCCTAGTTTTAAAATAAAGTCTTACTCTTTAAGGCTGGGTTCACACCTAGGCATATCGGATATGCGAATTTACGAGGGCTACTTGGCTGTATCCCAATGGAAACGCGCGACAAAAACGCCCCAAAAAAGCTCCTGTACTTCTTTGGGCGTAGGACGTTTTGTAGCGCGTTCATACGGCCTGTAATACGCCCAGGTGTGAACCATACCCATAGGAAATAATGGGATTTCGGTGTTTGAGCGTTTTACAGAGCGTAGGAACGCGCTACAAAACGCCCAGGTGTGAACTGGGCCTTAATTCCCTTTAGAAAGTGTGCTGTTCTCACTCCCGTTGCTCTTCTCTCCCCTCACATTTCCTGTCACTTCGTAAGAGCCGTGCACATTCATTTTACACATCTTTCTTTGCCTACAACTCCCATAAGGCAGAGAGGAATAATTTCTCACTGCACACAGTCGGCTCCTCCCCCCTCCCTCTCCGCACAGTGAAAGTTGCCCTGCTTGTAATCTCTTCTGCAATGCTCTGAATTATCAAAACTACTTACAACAGCTTTTCAACAATTCTACAACAAACACCAAGTTTATAACAATCTATATAGAAAACAACTTTATTTCAAATGTAGGAGCCATATTCTCTGTGACTGTGTGACCAGAATCAGCATGTAAGCTGAGACTCGGAAGAAAGTATGAAGCTGGTGACAGCTCACATGCTGAATCTCATCAGAAAGTTTGTGAAAAAGACAGTGATAACAAGCAGCTCTCCCTACACTCCCTCCTTGGTAAACCAAGAACAGACATCCCAACTCTCCCGGACGCTTCGGGAGTCTCCCGCTATTAGATAGCAGCTCCCGGCCGCCCCGGGAGAGAAACACTTCCTCCCGGAAAGGTTTAATCTGCTCGATCGAGCAGATTAAACCTTTCCCTGCGATTGTTTTTTTTTTTCTTTTCTGACATCGGGAGCCGCGGCCCAACCGTCAGTCAGAAAGTTAAAAAAAAAGGCATACAAATGCATTGCTAGATTCCGATTGGCTATTGCACTTTGCAATAACCAACAGCAAACTAGCTAATGCACCCGCCCACTGCTGCTGTCAATCAGCAGAGGGGGACCTGAATTTTTCTATCAGGTCCTCTTCTGTTGATTGAAAGCAGCAGAGGCCGGGTGCAATAGCTAGTTTGCTATTGGCTATTGCAAAGTGAAATAGCCAATAGGAATCCAGCTATGCATTCTTATGCCTTTTTTTTTTATTCTGACAAATGCAACTGTCAGAATACAAAAAAAAAAAAAGCCTGCAGATAGAAAAGAAGCTATTGCTCACTGTGCTATCTGCCATCATTTCAGGGGGGTGCTCTCTCGCAGCCCCCCTAAACCCCCCCCCTCCGCGGATGGGGGGGAGGGCACCTACCTGAAATGAGAGGGACACCTCCCTGAAATTGCTTCTTTCAGGTTGGGATCCCTGCAAGAGGAGGAAAATCAAAGTGTAGAGGGGGTTGTGGAAGGCGACTGAGAGGACACGCCCTCAACATGCATGTAGTTCTTCACATGAATGAGCACAAAGGGTGGCCACTTTTCAGCACACATAGGGACCATGGAGAAGAAAAGTAGCCACCTTCTGGCAGAAAGTTGTGGCTGGAAAAAAATAAAACGGATTTTGGAGCATTTAGAGCTAAAGAATGACCAACAAAAAGGTACACAGTAATTTATTATTTATATAATAGAAGTTATTTTTATTATTTATTTTCTGAGTTTAGTGTCACTTTAAGGTAAATGATTATTGTTTTCAACAACCTTTCAACAGTAACAACTATTTTTTTGAATGGTATGCATATAATTTCTTACAAAAATGACCAGCTGCCAAGAATTATATTCCAAACCGCTATTCCTGTAAAATTATTTCATATGTCCCTTAGTTATTAGGTATTGTTGTTGGCTCTAGAATGTTGGCATCAACCTTCAATTTTGTCAAATGTTGAACATTTCTTAAATTTTTGTCAAATCCTTTAAAGATCAGACTTGTTTTAAAATCTTTAAAAATATACTTCTTTTAAATAGTCCTTACTGTATTTGAGGCCCAACTGTATTTTTAAAAAATAACATAATTAAAGTGTTTTGTAAAAAAAAAATCTCTCTGCTTGGAGTTTGCATTACGTCAAGGCAATCAAAGGGGATTAGTTTGCCGAGTGCTTAGCTCTAGCATTTAACTCAGCAAGGGGAATATCAGACGGCTGCAGAGAGACTAAAGCTCTTACAGAGCAAGCAGCGGTCCTGCCCAGCCATTGACTTTGTAACAGGTGCTTGAGATAATTTACCAGCCATAAAAATATCTAAGTTTAGTTTAAGTTTAGCCTTGTAGATTTTGAGGAAGATACAGCGCGGCTTTAAAGTAAAACTGCAGCCAAAACTCTTTATTGGTTCTGGGTCGAGTGTTGAAGGGTTAGAACGTCTGTACATTGTCTGTGTCCCACATGGCGAGAGTTGAAGAGAGTTTCTGCACTGCTCAGCTTGGTAACCAACCTCACAGATTGACTTCAAGAATTGAAATTGCCAGAGACCGAATTAATATTCATAATGGGCACTTTCTTGCATAATATTGCAGCTGAATGCTTGTTAAATGCTATCAGGTCCTTTTCCTAAGAACAAAATATTGTGACATCTATTATTATGTCAATTACCAAAGTGCTATAAAATGATTTAGGAATTACAGTGTTTACTCAATTTCTGTGGAGCCTGAAGTGAGTATTTTGATTAATTTTACCTGAGCCTAAAGACATGTTTTTTCTTCTTATAATCCATTACAGCCTCACAGGATGCGCTGCCTAGGAATAGTCCCTCTTCACCTTGTAGTGGTTCATTCAGAGTAAAGGTCTTAGCATCTTTGTAGAAAAAGAAGTCATTGTTCTTCAACACACAGTAGGCATTATTCCATGTCCTGCATGGTAGAAGGATGGACAAATGTACATTTCAATCTGCAGCATTCAAATATATGTGTGTACCCTTCTATCACTAATCATGTTGACTGGCTTAAAGAAGTCATGAGATAACAGGGCTTAAAGTGACATTAAACCCTCAGATTTTTTAACATAAAACAATACTGTAATGTGTGCCTTACTGTAATCCATGGTTGTTTCCCTTCTCTTTGCTGCTCTTCCTTTTAAATCCGTATCTCTTCTCATGCTGGGCAGAACTTCTGTTTTGCAGCTGACTGCCTTGTCTCTGAAATGGATACATGGTGTCTGTGTGCAGGTTCACAACCTGAGCCAGCACTACAGGAAAAGGCACTCAGCTGCAAAGGGAAATTCTCCCCCAGCACGAGAAGAGATACGGATTTAAAAAGAAGAGCAGCAAAGAGAAGGGAAACAACCATGGATTACAGTAAGGCACACATTACAGTATTGGTTTATGTTAAAAAAGCTGAGGGTTTAATGTCACTTTAAGGAAGGTACATGAGTGAAATAAACTGAAAGAAGTGAAACACATTATTCATCTTTTCATACTTGTTAGAATACAAATACCACATAAAGTATATCTTGAAAGTTCAGCATCTAAAATTATGAACCGTAACTACATATTTGGAAAACCACCCAGAAGCAGTGCTTACAAGATCAGTCACAGACTGGAACAACTAGTTTATAGTGCTAAGTTTACACAGGCGGTAAAAAAAAAACAGGCTGTGTATTCATATTTTACTGCCCCTGGACTGCCCACCTACAATGTGAAAAGGCGGCTGCTCAGGATTGTACACATTGCTGCGCTGCAAATGCTTAACACATGGTTGTGTCAGTTTGATCCATTCCAGTGCTTTTTTTAAAATTGGTTTTGCATGTGTTTTAAGCTTGTTCCGGTGCGTTTTTGTGTGTTCCAGTGTGAAGAAAATGCATGCTGCTGTACTTTTTTTTTTAAACGCTCTGGAAATTAATGCAATGGTGTGAACTAGCTTTATTTAAAATCAGTGGAATTATTGTGTATGCATTTTTTGCTGCAGATAAAAACGCACTGGTCTGGAGATGGTATGAATAGGCTCTAAGAGGAGGAGTAAAGCCTGCCACCAGTGTGAAGGAGGCTTATGTCTGTTGTACATTATGTTGTTACTTGTCAGTAGCATATTACCATGTATAATAAAAGGTTTCAGACTCCTGTCCACCATGGAACCAGGTCCTTATTGCTACTGTCTCTCGAGCTAGATTTTGCACACAGTTCTTTGCCTTACTTAATATTTGGTATTATGTTGCTGTAGTGTCACACTATTCTTCTTCAGCTATCATTTACCTGTTATGTGCCTTTTTGAGTGCTTCTTCTAGATCATGCTTTCTCAATAAAAATCCCTGAATTTGGATTGTGGAAGAACTAAGTAAACTTGCTGGTAGAGTAGAAATTTCTTCTGTCACAGTAAATGTGGGTTGCAATGCACTGTGCTCAGCTTGTTCCATAGGATCTGGCTCTTGTTCCTCTGTAGGGACCTTCCACTCCTCCATGATATGAGTCTCTTGAATGACTTCCTGTGTGCCTGATACATGAGCTTCTTCTGCTTCTGTTACCTGGAGCAGTACATGAGAAAATAAAGACTCAGCTTTAAGCACTCTAAAAATCTGAAGATACATTTTGGGAAATGAATTTTATTAGGAACTTTATAGAGGTACTGTATTTATTATTATATAAACCACACATTTGTGGCACAGAAAGGACGCTTACAATTTCCGTTACATATTGCTAGTTGTGAAACGTAGAAAGGACAGATGATTTACATTGCATTAACCTGAGACGTTGCTTGACCATCATACCCAGGGCTTATGCCCTGGATCTTTTACTGAGTAGGGTCACCGTTGCAGTAATTGTGCCCATTAAGTATTAACGTTTAGAAAAATTATTTTAATGACTTCTCATCAGTGGTATCAGGGTGTTTTCTAAGCACCTTAGTGTATACCACCTCACTGATTCTCTGTATTCATGATACAAATGAAGACTATTATTACTTTCATTATACTCATCCTGGTCTTATCAAGAACTTCATATGGGGCAGCCACTTCAGATTTAAATCCTGCTCCAGTGGCCAGGTGTCTATTATATGATCAACCATATGATGATTCAAGAACACCATCACTAATGACTTTACCAACAAATTAAAACACCCCCATGGCCAGCTCCAACACAGACAAAGGTATAACGGAGGAGTCAACACAGGTGAAAATTAGAAACTGGGAACATAAGATATTCATATGCTTAGTAGGACTGGTGGCTTTGGTTTACTTTGTCACTAATTGTGCTATACTTGTTGCGATGACATTATCGAAGAACAAAACCAGAAATATTTTATAAATGCCGCTCTCTTATAAAACAACACGTCAAGGACAAGAGATCGGCATTTATAAAATATAAGACGGAGGGGATGGCATTGGCGTTCCTTAACTACAAAGAATGTAACAAAAAATGCAAACTAGAAATCCGGGCAGCTAAAACTGAGTGCAAAAAGCATATCGCCGCAGATAGTAAAAAGAACCCCAAAAAATTCTACCAATATATTAACAGTAAAAAGGTGAGAAAGGAGCAGATAGGCCCAATAAAGGATGAAAGTCACAAACAACGACAAGGAGAGGGCCGAGGCGCTGAACGCTTTTTTCTCCTCAGTATACACTCGCGAGGGAAACGGGTTTGACACACATGATAAAACTCCCAGTTTAACTCAAAATATACCCCAGTGGTTGACGGAAACCGGGATACAACAAAATGCTTAAATGCTTAAAATGCTTAAAATGCTCAATGCAAACAAAGCAGTGGGTCCGGATATTAAGGAATTAAGCCAGGTTATAACTAGACCATTAATCCTCATTTTTAAGGACTCCTAACCTCTGATAATGAAGATGAAATTGTCATCTTCTGCAAGAACGATCTAGAGCCCAGAAGATCTAAAAGTCAAACCTGATTAATGTTCTTAAAGGGACCCCATCTACCCAATAAAGATCAATCAGCTTCATAAAAACATATTTCAGCTTTTTTTGAACTATATGTCTGAATGTTGTTAGTATGCAGTAAACGTCCGCAGAAATCTATGTGCTATGTGGCCACAGTTTTACAACTAAAGCACCAGGGATTAGCAATTGTTCTTATTATACACTTATACAATACAATATTGGGAGGTTCTTGCATGTTACTGATAATTTGTTTTTGCATGTTCTTTTATTCTTGGGAATACTTTTATAGACTAATGATGTCATGTGTGGATTGTACTTGGCAACTGCTGGTTCATGTGTCTATGAGTATGCTACACACATAGGATGTTGTCAACGTTTGCCTTGAAGAAAAGTCCTTAATTGGTCGGTGGCTTTGGAAGCATCTGATGAAACAAGCTGGATGGCACAATAAAGCGTTGAATATCAGAGGATGGAGTGCTATTGACTTACTATATGAATTTGTTTGTATCTGGTACAATCAATTTCAACGCCTTAACAGGAATTCACATGCCAAACCAAGATCAAATTACCATAGTTTTATATATGATATGGGTTTGATATGTGGGCTGCATGTCTCTTGGAAAAAACTACATACATAAATAATGTTCCGCAAGACTTTGCTTATAGAATTCCCAACAGAAATCACATTTCCCCTCACAAGAATCTGGCATTTTAAGGAATTAATACCTTTTATGTTTAAATGTCCTTTACAGTGCATATTTATTTTTTACTTAAAAGTAATTAAAGAATTTTATTGTAGAAAAAAGAAAATTGCAAACAGGAAAGCTTTTTTATTGTAGAAGAGACTCAGTATATCTCTTCTGCAATAGAAGTAGAAGCGTCTTATACAATGTTGGCCTTTGATAAATGCAGGAAGTTGGATGTTTACGTGATATTTATTAGTTAGCAAATGATTAACTGGTTCCCGTCCAGCGGCCATTCATAAACAGCCGGAAGGATGCTTTCTAGATGCGGGTGGGCGTTTAAAAACATCCTTCCCCGCCCCCTTCTGTTTTAATACAAGCATTCCGGCGTCCGTAGAGACGACTGATCGTTTGTATTCTGTGCGGGTATGCGCCCCCGCCGGTCCCGAGCTCCGCTGTGCCCGGTGCAGGCCGAGAGCGGCACAGCAGCTCTGTCACCGGAGATCATAGGGAGTTCAGTACACGACCTCCCTCCAATCTCTTCTCTATTTTGTGAATGCAGGAAATTATGAATATTACATCACTTCCACATTCAGCTGTCATTCCTGGGTACAGAAGCCGGGGAGAAGCGTGACAGGTCCTCCATAAAGAGGACCTGTCAAGTAAATTGGCTATCACATAGGGGGTTCTTAGCCCCCTATGTGATAGCAATAAAATTAAGTGTAAAAAAAAAAATATGTAAAAAATTAAAGAAGCATAAAATAATCAAATAAAATCACATATAAAAATAAAAAAAACCACAAAGAAATTTAAAAGTCCCCTGCCCCCACATACACACGCAAACATGCGTCGGGTGCACCTAAGTGTGAAAACGTCGATTGCGCCCATTGTTGCACACATATTACATATCACGAACGTCGGTGCGTGAGCAATAATTTTAGGGCCAGTAAAAAAATAAAAAATCCAGTGGTGATTAAATACCACCAAAAGAAAGCTCTATGTGTCCCTAAAAAATAAATTAATAAATGTCAGTCAAAGTACTGCAGCACCGAATACTGAAAAATGGCCTGGACATTCCTGGTCTAAAGATGCAAGCTTTCGGGACCCTCTAGGTCAGGGGTGCCCACATTTTTTTGTGTTAAGATCTACTTTTTATATGACCAGCTCAGTGAGATCTACCGAAAGGCACCGCAACGCACCTCCCGCAACAGAACAGCGAGTGCGATGAACGCACTGTACTATTGTGAATGGGCCCTTAGTCAGACATAGCACTCTTATCAGAAAAAAGGTAAACTATGGGACTGTTACCTGTAATGGCCAAACTCCTAAAAAAAACTCCTAAAGTTCCTAATCTCAGTGTGTAATAGACATGTGCAAGGCAAAAAAATTAGTTTTGGTTGAAACAAATGAAAAACAAATTTTCATTTGTTTAATCAATGGAAACACATTTTAATGCTCTTTCGGATACGGATGCAGCAAGTCTCCGAATCCGAAACCGCAAAAAGAGACTGCAGAACAAGCAGCGGCCGTATCGGCCACCAGTGTGTTCTGTGCATGCGTGCTGCCATCTTGGAGTATATTTTGGTATACCTAAATACCAAGATATACTCCAAAATGCTTCCTCTGGCCAGATTATTATGACCACCTGACGTTTGTAGGCAAATTAGCTATAATGTCGCTCTGTAGTTGCTAGAGGGCCAAACCATTATAAATAGGGAAGCAGGTTGTTTACCACCACAGTAGAAGTGATTTTTTTCTGAAGATATGGGTAAACAACGCGATTTAACAGCCTTTGAACGTGGGATGATTGTTGGCGCTCGGAGCCATGGAGCGAGTATCAGCAAAACAGCAGAATTTGTTAAATGTTCAAGAGCAGCTGTTGTTAAAGTGTTTAAAGAGTGGACTGTCAGCCGAAAATCTGGGTCTGAACGTGCGAATTGTGGCTGTCAGCGACTAGTCAATGTTAGGGCAGAACGGAGAGTGGCAAGACTAGTACAAGACAACAGAAGGGCAACAGTGCATCAAATTACTGCAGATCTTAATCAGGCATCCTCTCAAATGATCTCTGAACGCACTGTTCACCGTACACTGCATTATATGGAATATGGAAGCCAAAGGCCTGTTCGAATACCTTTGCTGTCAGCAGTTAACAAGATAAAATGTCTCCAATTCGCACAGGAACACAGTCGAGCATTGGAAAAAAGTCATGTGGTCCGATGAATCTCGTTTCCAGTTGCATCATGCAGATGGCAGAGTGAGAATTTGGCGGAAACAGCATGAAAGCATGCACCCCACATGCATGAGTATAACCCTTCAAGCTGGTGGGGGCGGTGTTATGCTTTTGGGGCATGTTTTCCTGGCATGATTTGGGCCCTTTAATTCGTGTGGAACAACGTCTGAATAGCACAACATACAAAAGTATCGTTGCTGATCAAGTTCATCCTATCATGTTGATGGCGTATCCCAATGGAGATGGCTTCTTCCAACAATTGTGCAGAAGTGGTTTCAAGAACATGAGGAAGACTTTACCTTGCTCAGGTGGCCCCCACAATCACCAGATCTCAATCCAATTTAGTATTTGTGGGACGAAGTTGAAAGAGCCATCAGGCAGCTGGTTCCACAACCATCAAACAAATCAATTAAAATTCATTTGATCAGTAATGAATATGAGAACAGCTGTAACACTCACCTCTCCGCCAGCTTAGGGGCCTTCCGGGAGTCCCGTAGGAGATCCGGTGACGCCACGGACATCGACGTCACCGGACTCCTCCCCCCAGAGGCGGCTCTAGAGTTTGCGAGGCCTTAGGCGAAACCTAAACATGAGGCCCCATTCAGGCCTGTGGGGTCTCACCAGGGCTCTGTGGGGTTTTACCAGGCTGGTGAGACCCCACAGAGCCCCCCAAAGAGCCCTGGTGAGACCCTATAGAGCCTAAATAACCCAGGGAT